AACATTAAAGAGTCTTGCTTTAAATTCAGTTGATTTTAGTGATTTCGAAAGGAAATAATCACCAATTGGACAATTTATTTCACTTCAAAGACTTTATATTAAACATTGTTATGGATTTTAAACCGAATAGTTTATTTTTTGCTTCATCGTTTACTCAATTAAGTAATTTTCATTTTCATACAAATAATAAATGTGAGTGACCTCAAGAATTTATTATAAGAATTTTTGAAACGGCCAATACGAGTTTAAGAAATATTTGTCTGGATATATATCCCTATCCCCAAATTACATTTAATACACTTTCAGCAATTTTAAATTATTGTACAAAGATTACCAAATTAACTTTAAAGATTCTAAGTCCTGAACAAGTAATAATAATAATTTTAATGAATTAAGGAGATTTTCATTTCGTTTTGGAAAAGGATTGGGTTCTAATAAATTATTATGTCTAATGGCCGAAAATGTACCAGAATCACTTGAAATTATTGAAATTAGAATAGGGATATTTAGTGCTGATAGTTTAAGAAAATTTTTTGAAGGGTGGTGTTGTAAAGGAGAAGGAAGAAATAAAAAGTTTATTGTAAAACGTACAGAACAAGCACGACTATTTAAATTAAGTGATGAACATTTTAAAGTTATTGAAGAATATGGATTTGTTAATGGAAAAAATTTTATTAGTGATAAGCTTTGATATAGTTTTACATTTTTTATTATTTTATTAGCTAAAACTTTTATATTTCATTAGCTCAAATTTTAAATTTTTAAAATGTCATATTGATTTTATCGTTATAATAAAATAAAAAATCAACATTAATTAACATTAGAATTAAATTAATTTAATATTAGAGTTGATAAAAATTTGATAATTAAAAAATAATAGTCTATTCAATTTATTTTAATAATTATGGAGTTTTTGAAACATAATAATTAAATAATTTTTATACATTTAGAGGATAACTGTGAAGTGTTTCGTTGCTTCATAATTCATTGCTTCGTTGATTTGTTGCGTTGTTGTTCTCGCAATTTAATTTTGATTCGACATAATTTATAAAATAACAAGAATTTAGGATCAGGAGCATTTAATTAGCTTGAATTTTTAGTTTGCCTTACAATTTAGAAATATTGATTTAATTATATTAAACAAGAAAAATAATTAAATAAAAAAATAGTTAATTTAACAATTAAGCTAAATTATTTAAATATGAAGTTCTAATCAACTTCATTTAAAACAATAAATATTAATTGTCATTTAGAGATCAAGGTAACATTCCAAAAAAAAATTTTATAAAAATTGTAGATGAGTTCAAGACTGCTTTGAGTGAAGAGTGATCAAAATTTAATGTATCAATTCTTAGGAAGGTTGTGAACTCAATGTCACAAATAATTGAACCAGCATTGGATACAATTAGTTATAAAATGTTATATCTTTCGAGTCCTGTATAATACACTCTTATTTCTATATACTTTATACATTAATATAACTCTTATTTGTCAAATTTATTTCGATAGTATAATTTTTTTTTTGCGCACATTTTTTCTAATTAACGTCAATTTAAATAATAAACCTTATCTATTATCCATCTCACGATAAAAGATGTTTTATGTTTTATTTACAATTAAATTATTTGTTCATTTAAATTATATTAACTTTAAATGAAATAAGAAATGGCTACTCGAAAAATTAAATGGAATGAGAAATTAAGAAATGTTTGGTGTAAATCCTATTATTGTTTAGACGGCTAAATAAAATAAAATTATATTAAAAATAAAATAAATAAAAAAATGGAATAGTGGAATGGAGATACGAAAAAAAAATAAAAATAAAGTATTTAAGTAAATGACCTTAACGTTTTAAAATCTCCCAG